GGCGGGGAACCACTTCCATGCCGTAAGCTGTACATCCTAGTCCAAAACCTGCGCAGCCTAAACGCTTAACCACGAAACCCTTCAGCCGCGTTTCTTAGCAAATCTTCCATCGTCCGACCAGACCGGACCCAAGACTTTTCAAGCTCAAACTGGATTTGCTGATCAGTTCGACGTGTATTCGGATCACAAACCGTGGCTTATCGTTACATCGTAAAGGTACAGAGCACACCGACTCCATGAGACCCAAAGTCTGTAGATAGTATACCGCAGCGTCCTAGAGTATCGTAGAGAATAGAATTTTGTGGTATGACATACCAGAATGTTCTCGATTCTTTCCGTGTATATCTACCTATATACACATACATACACCGATATCCAAATTTTCTATAATACCATGGCATATTGCATGGTGTTATAGTGTATTGCTAGACCCTTCAACTCAACCTCGGCCTCGGCTGAAACCCCCGAGCAGGGCTTTGGGCTGTCGATCTCCCGTCAAGCTTCTGGGTTTGGGTTTAGAGGTCTAGGGGTTTAGGGTTTAGTCCTTTAGGGCTTTGCATGCAGGACTTCAAGGACTGACGGCTGTCGCCCGGGGAATGGACACGCAGCTGCGAAGGACTAGGATACAGAAGAGGCCTCCTGGGCTTTAAGTCCCAAAGGCGATCGGAGACTTCGAGCAAATTGAATCTCACTAGCTGCCACGGCTTCGCAGACTCTATGACCGCCCGAATGACACCGCCAAGATGCCCCAGCTGTCCGCCACGTAGCGATTTAGTATCTTAAAACTTGCGGCTTAAGCCCTGGTCTGGTGTCAGTGCAACCTGGCTGCCCTAGTTCGTGCGCTGACCTGGTGTTTACTTCACCTTCCAAAGCCCCAAGCCACGAATACGTCCTAGCAGTCGACTTCTGAAACCCTCAATCTTGCTGGAGCATGGGACTTAGCAGCGACGTGTGATGAGTGTGTTGATGAAGTATTGGGTCAAGCGTGCTTGAGGGTACCGGCAACCGCCGGCTGATCAAGCGCCGTTCTTCTCGTCCCAGAGGGAAGGGAGCACTAACATCAAAACAATGGTGAGCACATCGATTCCTGTTGGGTGCACGAAGCGATTTTCGGCCGGCGGTCGGTAGGCAGTTTTTTTCGGACGCCTTGCTCAGTCAACGCCACGTAAGGCCCTTCTCGCAGGATTACGAGAAAGAGCCTCACACACCAGTTGATCACGGGCGTTGAGCCGTGGTGCTCCCAGTGCAAATGAATTTGGGCGTTTCTGCAGCGCTGTTTTTGGCTGCATGTCATTAAATGCTTGGGTGCAAGCCTCGTTCAAGTGAATGTAGTTATTTGCAGCTTCGATTCGAGATGTCTCTATGGTATCGAACATTAAAACGACAACAGTTTCGAGGAGTTCATTCCCAATTCACCCTGTCTCTGTAGCTGTTGGTACTTTCGAAGCAGATTCTGCGGCTTGCCCCAGACCATACCATGGGGGGGAGGCGGGAATGCCAGACGCCTGACCATATTCACTGCACCGTACAATATTTTAGGGTTTAGGGGTTTAGGGTTTAGGGGTGGGGATTGGAAGGAAGACTACAGCTTGGTGAGGCTCGCCTTTCAACCCCTGCTAAACCTCCTATGCCTCCCTTCAAAACCAAAGCCGTGAGAATGTATCAGTACGACCCTTGCGTACTAAACCCCGCACCCCACATCCAGCCCAGACCCTAAGCCGTAAACTTCAAATCCATGTGGCCGCCGTGAGTCTCAAGTCGCCTCCACGTAAGCTGCCCGGTTCACGGAGACTTGCTCTATTGCCAGCAACTCCTTCCAGGGACCATGTACCCCTGAATGCGCTTAGAGTGTCGGGATGTCTGTAGCAGGTTTCGGATTTCAGGGCGAGGATTCGCTTGGTTTGCAGGGACGCGTGGACGCGGCGAAGAAATCATGACGATACTAGATGAACCCCAGCATTCCTGAAGTAGGGTTCATGCTCGAGTTTGGGTGGGCACTGGGTGTATATAAACCTCTTGAGGAGTATTGGTAAGTGAATTCCGGATGTCCGGGAATAAAACCCTGCTTCATCGGAACTCTTCAATGCCAGCTACGGAGATTATTTGCAAAAGGGATCTGGGAGGCACCATCCAAGCCGCACCGGCCTGGGAGCGAAACGGTAAACTCCAAACCTTCGCACTAAGTCTGAATTTGTCTCAATTCGGCCCCTTCGGCCCCATGTGCATCCTGAACCCTCCGGCAGCCTCTTCCCCAAATTACTTCGACACCCAAGGCAGCGGTTGGCTTCGCCGTCATGTCTTTCACGTTACATCCAATAGGAGGAGAAGGGTGCTCAACCGTAGCCTGCATGAAACCTACATGCTGCAATGTGAATGCTTGAATGATAGACAGAATCCAGGTGATTCAAGGTGAGAAACGCAGACCTCCCTGTCCAGTCTGCCCTGCGACCTCTGCAAATCAAAGATCGGGCGGAAGGGCTCTCCGAGCATTTACGGTTTTAAAGCTGCTTTTGCAGGACTACTAGCGACAAATTGATCCCATCTCTTGACTCTCTCCCCGCCCGGGCACCTCCAATGCGCGCGCCTGTGGGATGCAGGCAGCAAGCACTTTGCTTCTAGCTCGAAAGCCCCAACACCCTGTATGATGTGGCACACTATCATCCAAGCCCAGCGCCAAGAAGCCAGAAATCCGTGTTCCTAAGGATGTTGGATTCAGCGGATTCAGGCCTGGATCTTACAGGGCTTGGGGGGGTGGCGGGGCGGGTGTATCGTACCATGTTAAGCAATCCTAATGCCTTATCGTCCGAACCCGAAACCCCAGATTCACCACATCCTGCAAAACCTGAACCCCAAACCACATCAATCTCCCGCACCGCTTTGTCAAACCCAAAAGCCCCAACAAAAACCAAGATCTAAAGCTCTAAACGGCTCTAACCTCAAAAAAGGAGCCATCGGGATGCCTGCTCCCGCACTTCCTCCGTGGCGTCGGTCAGTTCCCGGCGCTGGTCGGCCCGCTCCTGAAGTCTTCTGTGCTTCAGTGGGTTTGCATGGTTCAGGCTCCATAATGTTGAAGGCTTGAGCCTTGCTACTGAGAGAATGTGGCTTCGAGGGTCTTTTGCTTGCGAGCGTGCTTGGACTATGCATCCCGGAGTTAGCGACACGTGTCTCCACGCGGCTTTGTAGGTCAAGGCTGAGGGCTTCGGCTGGCAACGACAAGTCGACACTTGGGTTGTGCGGACAGGGAGGGCTTGGGGGAGGGGAGCAGGAAAAACTCAACTCTTCACCGCTGCAAAAGAGATTCCCGCTAAAGCGCTGCGCAAATCCGAAACAGACATCTAAGCTGAACATTCTGCAGCCCCTAACCTAAGCCGACAACTCCAACTAAGTTGGGCCAATGCTTATCTTGGAGTTATTTGAGGTTTATGCTCTTTAAAGCACCTTCTTGGCCCTAAAAGCACCAAAGACTCGAAGCCGGCCACAGCAAACTTTGCCCCCCCAAGAAGCGCAAAAGCCCAATCCTTGGCCAGCTGAATCATCTCGAAGAGCCTCAGGCCAGCATCGGTGGCAGATGTGGCCTGGCGAGAAGGTAGCGATGTCAGCGATGATGAAGCGAGCAATAGTAAGGATTACATTGGTAGAGAAAGGCTGCGGTTGAAATTCAATCGATATGCGCAAGACAGCAAGCAATAATCGCTTCCCCCTTTGACTAAAGCCCCCGCCTCATGAAAGAAGAAAACACCTTGGCGCGAATCCTCCCGAAATCATCCCTGCCCTTTAAATACTATTCTGAATTACGGAATAGGGTTTCGAGGCTCCAAATACCCTTAGAGTCGAGTCGACTTCAGACTCTCGATGGCAGGATCTCTCCTTCACATAATGAGCTTTTCCACGAGCGCGGCGCTGAGGGGGTACGCCGAAGCAAGCCTTCACCTACCCTGCTGCCGCGTCAGGGGCCTGGGCTTTAAAAAGGGCTACGGCTGGTTCTTGCTCATGGCTGTCAGCACGCCGGTCATCTTCAACTTCGCATCCTGCCGCTTGCGCCACATGAATGTAAGCTGTGTGACGATGCAGGCCGCACATGCCGGGGAGTTGACATCCATAGCTCTTGTTTCAGACTCGTGGGATCTGAGTTTCACTTATTATTCTGGCAGCTGCTTGAGAGGATCCGGCTTTGTGCAGCCCAGTGACCAAGCGATGCGAGTGCAAAGCCCCTCGCGTGGCGTTGCCTCTGGAACAACTTAGCCGCAGTTTAACATGCGTTGAAGCTTGTTGTGCCGATCGTGGTTCCTGTCTTGTCTGCTGTGGTGAGGCCACGTGCAGCAAGAAAGTGGTAAAACGACAGTTCCATACCGGCCCAGCAACTTGATTTCGTCTTAACACAACCTAGCGCTCTTCTCAAACCATTGGCAACAGGATCCGCGAGAATGATATTTTGTACTTAGGAAAAGTCGCATGTTCCACATATCTGCGGACTATACCACCCACCTTGCGTCAAGGCCTGAGATTCCCCAAAATCGATTCAGTCTCTCAAGCTCCGCTGCCTCCATCGCATTTTTCATGCCCAACCTTAACCCCAAATCACGTACGTAAGCCTGAGCGCCCTATCAACCGTACCATAGGGGCCTTCATAATTAGAATAGGGTTGTGGGGCCCACCGTACTCTACTAATAATAAGAACCCCCCCCAAAAAAAAAAACAATAACATTGGTAATTCTTAAGGCCCCTAGAAAACAATCATCAACCCTTCCTCTCAGCCCTCTCGGCCCGGTAGCCACCCTGAGCCCTTTTTTGGAAGCCTTTAAGGGTTTGGGGCTTCTTCTTCCGCCCTAAAGCCAGAAAAGAGCCCTGCGTCAAATCCTGTTTGAGCTCTTGTTTGCTGCGCCACAGCCGCGAGATGCAGGTTTTGCGGCTTGGGGTAAATGCTATTGTAGCTTCGACACGAGGAATATGTACCACAGATGAAAACTCATCGAAGCCATTGAAACCCGAAGCCCCAAACCCTAATTCCGTCCCCTGTCTTTACCTTCCCAGGCACCAAGGATGCCGGCCAACTGCGCCGCCGCGGTCACGTTATGTGGTTCTGCTGCGGCGGCCACATCTTTGGCTTTCTGCCTCATGCTTTGAAAGCGATTTCGTTGCTGGAGGCTTCGGCTTTTGGGGTCTTAGGCTTAATTTCCTGTTTCAGGATGCAAGGCCAAGACAATCAAAAGCCCAGAAACTGTCGAAACAGGCGACGAACCCAAAATTGGATTGTTGTAGAGTCGGCAAGCATGATTAAAACACGAGGCGTTTGGCTGCCGAGGTGCGTAACCCCGCAAGAAACGATTTAGAGGAACCGATTTGTGGTTCGACGTGAACTACGAAATCCCGAGTTATTACCAGCAACACCCAAATCCGAGATCCTAAAATGCAAAACCTGAATCCTGCATCCTGTTCGCATCGCAGTCACCAGCTATAGTTCCCCAGATTGGCACGCAACATACCACATATCTGCCATGAACATGTGCACAGTCCACCAATTAATCTTCCAAATGTCTAAAAACTTGCTGTCTTTTTTCGACCGGAAGTTTTAGGCATTTGCGATGATTAGCCTTGGCTTTGTACTGCCAGCACTGCTGCCAGATTTCAAAACATGGCAAAGATGGAAGCTAGAAAAGGAACCGGGCCGCCGTAACCGAAAAAGACATCTTTTCTGGAGACCCTGCCCAGTTCCCAATTCATTGCGGAACCCAAATAGAACCGGGCGCCCTCAACCCTAAACCCTGAACCTTAAAATCTGAGGAGCGAGAGCTGCTCTGGTGAGTCAATGCCCGTCACCTGACGTTCTCACAATGACGGCGGCTGCTGCGGTGCTGCTACGACTCCGAATACCGCTACTACCATCACTACCACTGCCACTACGACTACTCCTCCTCCTCCTCCTATTCGTACTCCTACTCACACTCCGACACTCCTACACTCCTCCTCCGCTCTCCTCCTTTCCTCCTCCTCCTCCTGCTCCTACTCGTGCTCTTGCTTCCGCTCCTACTCCCACTCCCAAAGCTATTATTATTACTACTCTTAACAAAATACTATTGATATAATGATAAAGTAGTAAGAACCGTGGCTTACTAGGAACAGTAGCAACAGTATCAACACGATGATGTGATGCTGGTGGTGATGATGATGATGACGATGGCGATGAAGATGGTTGTGATGCTGATAGTAAGGATGGTGGTGATCATACTTATGTAAGAACTGCTGTTCTTAACAGTGATCGTTCCAGTACACTTGATCCGGCTGTGGGAATGACACGTTGACTACCTCGCTACGGATCTGTAGTTCTACTTTCTCTTCATGTAGGCTGGCTGTTTAGAGACGGCAAAAGCCCTCGAGATCGCCATGTACAGAGACATGCAGAATCATGCATGCAGGATTCTGGTCTGAATGTCGGTGTTCTTGAAGCTACGGTTCACGCATTAAACGAGTGGGACCGTCCCGCACCGTGGAAATGACAGGCGTTTGGTTGTGGGCCGGAGTCGAGGCCTTTAGCTTGACAGGTTCTTTATTCTTTTGGTCCCATTGCAGGCACCTGCCCTCACCTACCCCACCACTGCCTTGCAGTACTTCGTAATCTTCTCGGTGTACCTCGTCGCGAGCCGCTCATCTACAAACTCTATGCACTAAACGCAAGAAGCAAGCAGCCAGCATCAAGCGGGTGCTTGTAGCCTGCGGAAGCCCGCCTTGACATGGTCCGAGTCAGCCCTACACTGGAAGCTACAGCTGAAAATGCAGGCTTCTTCTGTCAGGCCAAGTTCATTTCCTACTATTCTATACTGTAATATGCAACAATATATAAGTTATTCTATATTGTAATATACAATAACATATCATAACATTCTCTTACAAATCCTTCACCGGAATCCACGAATCCCAAAGCTGAATGTGGGGAGCCTCGGGGGACTCGGAAGGAACGTTCTCTAGTGCTTCGTGTGTTTCTTCTAAGAGGTATAGGTTTAGGGTTTAGGGTTTAGGGTTTAGGGTTTAGGGTTTAGGTATAATATAGGGGCCTGATTATTTAGAATAGGGTTTCGGTTTGGGGTCCCGTTTTGGGGCCCATTCTACTATAAATATAATAAGGAACCCCCAAAATAGTGTTGGTAATTGTTTAGGCTCCTACAGTTTTCCCAAACCCTGTTCTTGTCAAGTTCCAGGACGGCAACCGAGATCCTAAGCCAAGAGACCTGTCGACGTGGAGCTGGAAGAGCCACTCAGGCAGTCCGGCGCTGAAGTTCCGGGTGGCACCAAGACGCGCAAGCCTCAGAAGGCTTCGACTGTGGCCCTGTTCTTTCCATGGGTTTCAGGGCTTTTTTTAGAGCACTCTTGTTTCAAGTCCGCCGAGGGAAGGTAGGTCGGAACCCACTTCGTGGGTTTAGGGTTTAGCTGGGGTTTAGGGTCTTCGGAGTTGAACTTCGACCTGCACGTCCGCACCCAGTCTAGAGGGTGCCTGAAACGTTCACGAGAAGAAACCTAAGCCCGACGCCCGAAACCGGCTTAAACGCTTAAACCCTCGAGCCGAGAGCCTGGCCCCGAACCCAGGACCATGAAGCCGGAGCAAATCCCCTAAACCCTGCAGCTACCCTACAAACTCAGAACATATGCCCGAAACGTGTCCGCGTTTGAAGCCCAAACCACAAATCTCAGCTGTCTCCGAAAATCTCCGAACGGGGAGCATAGTGTTGGTCTCCACGGCACTGACGCCCTTCTTGTACCCGAGGGTCGTGTGCGGATTAACCTCGGGGTTTAGAGCGGCAGGCTTTAGGCCTCAGCGCTTTTGTGGGATTAGTGGCCGGGCATTTCTAGCCCTATAAACCCTAAACCCTAATCATGGGGATTGGTACTACTAGTAACTACCAAACCCGAGCCCGAAACTGCGAAACGCAAATCCGGCCCGGTGGATGAACAGCGGATTCGATTCAGGGTGCAGGGCTTCAAGGTAGACTTGCTGCTCCAGGCTCAAGTCTCATGCGACATGGTTTACGGTAGGCTGCCGACATTATGCAGACCAAATTTCTAAAGGGCAAAGGTTTCGGGGCACGAGGGTCTGGGTCGTTCTGGACAGTGGATGCCACACGAACTTCCGCCTAAACAATCAATAAAAGCTGTCCCAAAGCTTTGGGCACTAACACGCAAACCCAAAGCCCCAAGCCCTCAACCCCTGCAGACCGAAGTGCCCGAAAGTTGGAGATCCGGATTCCCCAGAATCCTCAGCTTGGCGAGCTGTCTGATGACTGAGGGAATGGCGTTTGCGCAATGGTCGTAGAAATCCCCCAGCTGCATGGGCACACCTGCGATGCGGCCCTCCTGGAAAGGTTACGCTTTAGGGCTTAGGGATTCAGTTCTGTCATGCATGAAGTTCAGGCTTCAGTGCCTTTGCTGCAAGCTCGGGACTTTTGAGTGACGGCTTGAAGCAGCGAGCCCTGAACCCGAGAAGATTTGAAGCACCGGTAACAGCTAGAAAACTACACAACGGAACAACAACAATACGAATCATGCAGAGGCCGTCTTACAATTACAAAGATCTGCAAGGTTCCTCAGCTTCCTATCTTCCTCAGGCGGCCCTGCTATTGCCATCATGATGTTGCAACATCACCTTAAGCGAAATGCTCATCTCCATCTCCTTGATCGCAACTTTTCCCCGTTTCCTGCGACTAGACTACCACTGCGACTTCGGTTGCTCACATTACGACGACGACGACGACTACTACTACTACTACTACTACGACGACGACGAGGACGACGAGGACGACGACGACGACGACTACTACTACTACTACTAGTAAGACGAGTACTAGTACCAGTACTAGTACTACTAGCCACCCCCCCCTCCTACCAACCACCTGGCGCCTCAATCCACCACCATCATCGGTCATCATCATCCATCATCATCCTTCATCATGCATCATCATCATCATGATCACCATCATCAA